ACTTTAAATTTAAAGATGCTTTTGAATTTATTAAAAAGGATATGGGGGGAAAATCTGTGGAACTTTTGAAGCCTGAAAATGCTGATAATGGAGATAAACAGGAAATTGCTAATGTTTAGTTATCTTTTAATTTTTAATTTTAATATATTTTTTAGATAATATTTGCTCTTTTATTTATTTTATATAAAAATCAAAAGGCAAAATTTGATTATTTATGTGGAAAATTGGATGAAAAAAATTCTGCTGAAATTTTACAATTGGTAATAATTTTGATTTTTTAAAAATTATTTTCTAAACATCCGCAAGTTTTGTCCGCAAATGTATTTTTCCGAAGAAGACTCATTTTTTTATTAATTTTAATGTATAATATTATAATGAAAATAATATAAAGAGAATAGTCTCCCCAAATTGAGCCTATTTAAGTTTTATCCACCTTTTTTGCGGACAAACTTCCTCTATTTCTAATTCTTATTTTATTTGTTTGTAAAATATCTTTTTTTATTTTTTAGTTAAAACGTTTGGATAATTTTGATCGTCTTTCCCCAATACCCTTTACTTCAATTTTAAATAATTCTTCAAATAATTCAAATTTCCAAATATTTTCTTCACAAAATCAAAAAGATAAATTAGAAGAAATATCTAAATATAAAATTAAATCGGCAGAATTAGAAGCTAAATATAATCAAATTGAATCAATTAATTTTAAATTAAATGAACAACTTGGAAATGCTCAAAATGAATTTATTGACTTGGAGAATAAATATGAGAATTTAAAACAGGCGGATAATGAAAAGGTTTGTATTTCGTTTTTAATTATATTGGTGTGAGATCCTGTGGTGTAGTGGTTAGCGAATCTGGGTAGTATTGTGTTCTTCCAGGTTCGAATCCTTGTGGCTTATATTACTTTTCAGATATATTTTTTGTTAAGTTAAATTAATTTTTGAATATTTTTAAATTGTTTTAAAATTTTTTCCTTTCAAAGTTATTTTTTCCAATAGTTTTTTCGCCTCAAAATTACCATCTAAGCCTTTTTTTATTAATTTTTACTTAAATATTCAATTTTTTAATTTTATTTATTTTCCAATTAATTATTTTTTAAGCAAGGATCAATAGAACTTTTAAACATCCAATTAAGAGAAATTACAGATGAATTAGAGACTTGTCGTTATAATAATTCTCAATTACAAAGGGAATTAAAATCTTTAAATGAAAGACATTCCCGTGCCTTTCAAAAATCGGCAAATGATTTAAAATCGAAGGAAGATGAAGTTAAATTACTTTATATTAGGTTTTTTTAAATATATTCAAAAAAATTATTATTTTTTCTACAGATTAGATGCTTTAGTTAAACAAATAACAGAAAAAGATTCTTCTGAAAATAAATTAAAATTTATGGAACAGCAAATAGCTAATCAACAGGGGACAATTGGGGAATTAAGAAGTGGTCTTGAACAAGCTTTGGATAGAGCTAATTTTGTAAAATAAATTTTTAAAAAATCTTTTAGGAAATTTAAATTCTTTTTTAATTTTGTCCGCAAATATGTTGCGGACATTTTTTGAAAAACGCGGATAAAATTTTTTGACAATTTTTTTGCAAATATTCGAATTCACCAATAAATTAAAAATATAATAATTTTTTAGGCAGAAACAGAATTAATTAAATATAAACGACTTCACAACAATAATATAAACATACAAAACAACACTAATTCTAATACTGGTTTTTTAAAAAAAAATTTTTAATAAATTATTTTTATTTTAGATTCAGATAATTCCATTTCTCTTCATGATGATTTAAATTCTTGTAAAATTGAAGAAAATCAAAGGTTTTATTTAAAAATTTTTTTGTTAAAATTAGTTTGAGGTATTTAAAGTTATTTTTGATTTTATTGGCTAGCTTCCTTTCCTTTTAACTAAATTAATTTTTTTATTCGAGTATATTTATAATGAAATTAATAAATTTTCAGCAAACTCAGCAATTAAAAATAAATAAAAAAATTAATTTTGAAGACTGTCTCTACTTTTTTAATTATTTCTCTCAAATATTTACCCACTACCCATCCCTTTCAATTAGTTATTTCTTCAAAAAAATAATTGTTTATTGTTAATAATTTTCATTTAATTCTTTTTCTAGCAATTTAAACGATTCATTTGACCCCCAAACAGCTTCACAAAGTGATGACTTTGCAAAATTAAAAACTCGTTTAGAATTAATTCAATATGAAAAAAGAGAATTGGAAAATGAGTAAAAATAAAGAAATTTATTTTTTAATTTAAATTCTTTTTTTTTAAAGAAATAAAGAATTTTGTTTAAAATTTAAAGAATTTTCTAATTCTCAATCAAAAAATATTTTGGAAAAAGCAAAGGAAATTGAAAGATTTAAACAAGAATGTGAATCTAATCAAAATGAATTGAAAAGAATGCAACAAAAAGAAATTAATTTAATTGAAAAGAATAAATTAATTGAAGGTTTTTTTTAATTTTAAAATGGGAAATATTTTAATGAGGGGGGGGGGCAAAGAAAATTATTTAAAAGGAATTTGTCTTTTTTTGTCCTTTAAAAAATAATTAAAATTGACCATCTTTCTACAGATTTTAGTCTACAAAAAATTTAAAAATATTTTTCTATTTTTCTCTCAATATTTACTCCAAGAATCATTTAAAATTTTTCTTTTTTTTCAGAAGAAAATAGTCAACTCAAAACTTCAATTAAAAAATTAGAAGATTCAATAGACAAAGCAGCCCAAGTAATTTCAGAATATTCCAATTCTTATTTAGACCAACAACAACAATTTTCTGCTGTCGATTATTTACAATTAAAACATGAAATAAATAAATTACAAACAGAAAATGAAAGATTATTGTCTAAAATGGATCAATTAAGACATGAAGCTACACAAGAACAGAGATTAATTACACAACATTGGTATCAATCTGTAAGGGAATTTTTGTAATATAAAAAATTTTTTATTTAAATCCCGGGGATAAGAATAATAAAAAATAAATGAGATCCTTACCAAATTTATGAATTAATAAAAAATATTATTTTCTTTAAAAAATATTTTATATAAACGAGGGAAGGAGAGAAACGACGATTAGGATTAATAACTGATTTTTTAATTTTTCAATAGGAATAAAATAATGAAAAAAGGAGGAGGAAGTATTTTATGTAGTATTTAAAATTAACCATTTTTTTTAAAGATTAATAAAAACAATTTTCAAATTATTTTTTTTTTCATTTTATTAATTTTCTTCCTCCTTTTTAGCAACTTGATTTACTCAAAGCTAGACATTATTTCGGTGCAAGTTCATCAATTTCAAGTAGTATGCGTTCTTCATTAATTGACAATAATAATTGTAGTAATAGATGTTCAACACCAAATAATCAACAACAACAACAACAATTACCACCTTCAGAGGAAATTAAAAATTCTTCTTCTTTATCTAATACACAAAAAAGTTTTTTTCGTCGAACAGATTTAAATAATACAACAAATTTTAATTCATTTCCCCCACACAGATAATTATAAAAAAATTTTTATTTAATGATTCTTTTCAATTAAAAATATTTTTGTGATCTCTTTGAGTGAGAAAAGATCACTAATTATATTCCCAACTTTTAATAATTATTTGCCTTATTTTCTGTTCCTTTTAATTTAAAATTTTATTTATTGTGTTCCCAGAAAAAGCCTTTAAATCAAAGGTATTTTTTCTTATAAACCCCTTTCAATTGTTGTATTTTATTGAATTCTATCTGACTTTTTTTAAATTTCCTTTAAATTACTTATATTTTAAATGACGTGAGATTTTTTATAAAATTAAAAATCTTAAAATTAACTAATTATTTTCCTAGTGATATTTTTGGCTGTTAAAATTGAATTTTTTCATAAGTTTAGAGAAGGGAAATTAATGGAGAAAAAAGGTCCCGTACAAAATTCAATTTTTTCCTTTTAGCCTTAACATTAATCCGAATAATTTAAAAGATTCTATTTTAAATATTTCATTTATATTTAAATATATCAAAATTATTTAAATTTTTGTTTTTTGTAATAAAAATTTTGCATTTATTGGGGTTATTAATTATATTAAATTCTGGTATTGTCTTATTAATTAAATATATTTTAATAAGCCAAGGCATTAACAAAAACCAATGGCAATAATTGTAATGAAGGGGTGGGACAATTATATTCTGTTAACTTTTTTATTTAATTTTTGATGTTAGAATTTCACAAAATATTTAAATTATTAAATATTTTTACCAAAATAAATTTACCGTATATACTGTATTAATTACCCTGGGTAATTATTGTTTCAATCTCTCGCTGGAGGGGGTAATAAAAGCAGGTGGGGTAATTATTTGAGGGAGGGCAATTATTATTTCGACCTGTAAATTTTTTATTTTATCTAAAGATATGAACAGTAATATACAATATGTTACCGAATGCAGAGATAAATATTAGTAAATTTTTACAGATATTTTTTATTCCCTTAATACTTTCATATATAATATACCCCAATACGGTACAATAACACCAATGCTTCCTCCCTGGGAGATATAAAGACACGATGGTCATGTATAAAAGTATGTATGATTCCTATTTAGGGAATATACCCTCCTACATTCTGTAAATATACTTCTTATAATATGACTAAAGACAGAATATTGATCCATAAATGCTTAAAAATTAAAAGTATCCGGGTTATCCTCTCCAAATCCTTTTATTTTCTTGATTTATTTTTTATATGATCCTTAAAATGCCCATTGTTAAAATCATAATGTTTTTTAATAAATATTTTCGACATTAGCTTAGAAAAAATAGGGGGTAATTATTTGAGGGAGGGCAATTATTGTTTCGATCTCTTGCTAAAGGGGGTAATAAAAGCAGGTGGGGTAACTATTTGAGGGAGGGTAATAAATACAGTATATACGGTATTTAATTTTTAAAAATACATTTCACAGATAAAAATTAACTCTCGAACATTTCTTTGAATAAATTTTTCAAAAGACAACCAGCATCCAACACAGAATTTTCTAAAAAAACATATATAATTTTAATTAAAAACAAAAAAAAATCTTTACCTTCACAAATATTTCCAACTCCTTTCCTCACTTCTTTCCAGATTTTTTAATTCCACCCCCAATTAATCCCTTCTTATCTTTTGCCTTCTCTGCCATTTCTTTAATTTTCTTTTGTTGTTCAAGTTGTTCTTGTTTAAATTTTATATCGTCTTCAGTAAGCTGTTTCTCATCTGCTTTAGGTTTCTTTAACGGTTTTTGTTTTCCTCCTTGACGGCTAGACATTTTTTATTTAATTTTGTAGCTTCCTTAATTGTCTAAAAAATTAATTAAAATATAAAAATTAAAAAGATAAAATTAGAAGGTAAATATAACCATCAAAAATATAAATAAAAATTTAAAATGATTAAGTATATATTGCATTAAATTATCACACAATTTTTGTAAAAGTTTATAGATTAAATTTAATCGGCAGGGGTATCTGCACATGTTTTCTTCCTTATTCTAAAATAATTAATAAGGATGTTTTGCACAAAATATTATTTGGGGTATTTGGCCATCTTCTACGCTTGTTCCATTATTACTTCCAGGTGCATATTGAAAATGCCAATTAATGTCAGAACGTCCAGGTCTTTCCAATTTAATTTTTCTTAATCCTTTTGATCCATAATGTGATTCATGTCCCTTCAATTAAAGAAAAGATTTTTTGGAAGACATTTTGTGTTTATTAAAAAACTTTTTCCTTAATTTTTCTAAAAATTTAATTTCAAAGAAAATCCCAACAGATAAATTAGCAGAGGCAACATAAGTAACATTAGCCAATACTTCCACAGGTTCATCAAACATTACACGAAAAGTTGAAGCACTCCCATCAGAAACAAATTGACATTCGTTTGTTGCAATTAATTTTCCAATTGTAAAATTTATAATCTTTAAAAATGAGAGACAAATTTTGAATTTGCATGTTTTGATTTCTTGTTTTTTTGAATTTATTTTATTAGACTATTTAAATTATTCCTTTTTTTGTCCACTCAATTTCTTTAAAAATTATACCCAAATTTCTCTTTAAATAATAACCTACTTCTATAACAACTGAATATTTACATGAATCCCTATTTGATCCATACAAACCAAAACCCAAAACAAGTATTGGAGTATCTACCATAAATCTAAAAAAATTAATTTAATTTTTTTTTAATTTTCTAGAAAAATTTTTACTTTACTCTGTCGGGCGTCCCAGTATATCCCCAAGAAGATTCAACTCTTTGAAAACGATTTACAAACATTTCAGGTGTATATAGACCTCTATAACAAAGAGAATATGGAAGGGAAGAAGATTGTTGTCCATTTTCAGAATGATAAAATACAAAAATATTAACCATTTCTTCTGATGTTAAAAGTTTTGTTGGTGCTTAATAAAAGGAAAAAATGATTTTAAAAATTATGAAATTAAAAATTATTAGAAAAAGAATGATGATATGTGATAAGCTTACAAAAATAAAGTTTTTGGATAAGAATTTATGATAAACATTTTAAACTATAATTTCTAATTACTAACCAACATGTTTAGCAAAATCTGAAGGATTCATTAACGGAAATCTAATTAAATTAAGAGCACTTCCCAATACTTTTCTTTGGTTTTCAGGCGTTGGATGTAAATCTTCGACTCGACAAGCTTCAATAGCCCAACGTTTGACCTTTAAATAATTTCTTTTGGAATTTTAAATGAATCCCCAAAACTCACAGCATTAAATAAAGTCAATTCTTTAACTCTTAAAGTATTCCTTTTTAAAACTAAACAGAGAGTTTCATGGTCAATATTTACAAATTCATCAGCTTTTAATGCTTCTTGGGCATCCTCATCAATTATTTCCAAACATTGCTTTGCTAGACGCTTAAAAAATTATGTAAACTTGAGTTTAGATATAAAGAGTGGAATTATTTGTTTACAATTAAATCGGAATATTGGGTAACATAGTAAATTCAGAAAATTTTATTCAAAAATATAAAAAACAAAAAATTAACCTCCTCATCATAAAAACGTGCTTTCGCTAATAACATAAAAGCATTTTCGCAAGTTAAACAAGTTTCCAAAAAGGATATACAAGCACTTTCAAGACCAGGAATGGCATACTTTTTAGCTAAAATATTTTTTAAAAATTAAATCCCAGTTCCTCCCAAAAAATTAACAAAAAATAAAAACCTGTATATAAAATAGACATAACCGAATCTTTATTAATTGTTGCTTGTGTATTGTCTGTATAAAGATAAGTCAATAAAGCTTCAAATGACTCTCTTTCAACATCAACAAGTTCAATTTCCTTTAAAAATAAAAAATAATAATTCATTAAAAATATTTCAAAAAAAAAACTTGAAAGGTATTGGAACGACCCAAAGAATTATTTGTAGTCTCATCAAATCGAAACATTGCTTCAAAGACAGAAGAACCAACAGATAAAACAAATTTATGCGCAGGAACACGCTAAAACATTTATAAAAATTTCCAAAAATATTTAGTTAAAAAGCATTTTTCAATTACAAAATTTAAAACTAGCAAGAGTAATTGTAGTTTAGGACTGGACCCGCCTACAATAATTTGTAGAGTAGCAAAAAATTTAAAATTCATTATATTTTTCAATTTCAAAATTTTTTGAAGGTTAATTAATATTAAAATATTTAGAAGCTATTAAAAACCTGTAAAGTTCCATCCAAATTTCGAAAAAGAAAGAAAACATCTGCCAAAGTTTCATTTAAAAGCATATAAGAAAGACGATCTCTGACTGTTTGAAAGGATGCTTGCCAACCAATTGTTCCACCAGATGCATTTTGGCATGAAATTGATTTATCGTTCTCTAAATAATTAAATATTTGTAATTGAATAAAGAATACAACTTTTGGAAATTAATTTTATATTTTCAGTCAAAATTAAAAGTTTATACCTTTATCTACAGCTCCAAATCCAATAGAATTTTTTGGGCATAACTGCTTTCCATCTTTTTCACCTTTATTTGCTTGTCTATTATTAACACGTTTTGTATTAAGCATCTGTTGATTTCCATCATTTAATGTAGCCGAATTTGTACAACATTCAACAGACCCACGGGAATCTGCTAGAAAATTTAAATTTTATTGGCAATACACGCAGTACTTGACATTAAAAGAAACGAATGTAAAACCCCAAAAATATTATAATTTTTAATTTAAAGGTTTAAACGAACATTTTGTAATTCTGTAGAAATCCCTGGTCCTCTCACTCTTGTCAAAGGATATGCCACTCCGAAAATTAGAAAGTCAAAATTTTATAAAACATCTTAAACATCCACACAAACCTCCTTTCTAAAGTTAAATCATCCATTGAACTAGCCCTAATTTCACAATTTAAGTCAAATCCTTGTTTTGGCATTTTTTTCTTTTAAAATAAAATTAAAGTAAAAATAATTTCAAATACTTTAATATATTAAAAAAATATTTTTTGACAAAAAATAGAAAAAAGAAAACAAATTTATTCAAAACAAAAAATTTTTTAAAAGCATTTTAATCAAAAGAAATACCGGTTACATTTCAAAAAACTAAAGTTAAATTGATATCTCTATTTTGCGTAAAAGAGAAAATGGCGAAAAGGCTGCAAAAAATATATGGGAGAGGATAACATAAATGAATAAATTATATATTTATGCATATTCAAACTCGTTGTCCTTAAAAGGATTTTTAATTCTTTTAGATTACAGGGAATTCAACGTAAAGCAAAATTACTATATTTATGGAAATTTCTGGAGTCAGAAAATATATATCCAAAGTGTGGAATGTTTGATGAGCTAAAATGAGAGATAAGTTGGGAAAGGGTGTTACCTGAAAATGAATAAATTAAATGATAAAAACAAATTTTTAAGTAAAAGCATATAATTTTTAAGTGATTTCTTCTCTATTCTCAACATCAAAAATCTCTTCAAAATTATAACCAAAATTCTAATTCATGGATTTTCAAAAGACAATCTTGAATGTATAGACGATACTTTGCCAACACTTGGTGGCTCGTCTATTGTAATTCTATTCATAATGGAAGACTCAATACTATGAGGACGAGTACCATACGTTCCAGATGACGAACTTGTTTTAGTATTTTCTCTAAAAAATTAGAAAATTGAAGAATCTGACCAAAACAAATAAAATCTCAACGTTAATTTGGAGAGTATAAATCCAGGACAATAATGGAAAATGACCAAAAAATTTTTAAAATAAAAAAATTACCTCAAAGGGCTAACATTGTAACGTTTTGAAAGATTTTTATTATTGCTTGACCTTTCATCTTTTCTCATTTGTCGTCCACCTTTTTGTTTATTATCAAGAACATAAGATTTTCCATTTATATTATTATAATTATTATTACCATAATTCCGACCAATTAATCTTTTATTAATACTACTACCCCCACGGCTTCGTTTACGTGATGGGGGTCGTGCCCGTCTAAGAGGTGCACGTCTTACAGGAGAATCATATTTTTGTTGATTATTTCCATAAGAGTCATTGTTTACAGAATTAGGCAATGGATTTAATGGTTGTATTGCATCGGGACTAACTGAAAAAATTAATTTAAATCAAGACTGATTGAATAATTTTATAGAAAATTTGCTAGCTTATACAACCTAATATCTTTAATGTGGCTAAAGCCCATCCAAAAATGAAAAATAAATCATACTTTGCGGTGGCGGTCCATTCAATACAGCAGGTGGCGGTGCCCATCCTTGAGCACCAAAAATAGGTCCATTATCAACATAACTAAATAATTCTCCTGGCTCCGGATTCATATTAAACTGTTCATTTTCAATATAAACTTTTCGATCTTGCATATAATTTTGGCCAAAGTAAGATGAGGATGAAGCATTTTGATCCTCTCCTGACAAAAAAATTTATTAATAATGTGAAATAAATCTTGAGACAATTGAGGCTTAAGAGATTAATATATTTCGAAATTCCTAGAGCAGAAAACAGAATAGAGTGAATAGACTGGAAGGACAAAGGAATATAATGAAAAGAAAACCTAAAAAGCCCACTATTAGCAAAGGAGAGAAACTCCCGAATTTAAAATAAGCCTCAGATGTCTTCAACTTTATACATAAACCTCCACAAACTTTCCCTACTAAATTTCTCCACAGCCTCTCGACGTTCCCGTTTAAAATCTGGCGATATAGCAGATCCAGGTCTATTATAGTCTCTATCAAAATCTCTAGCTCTGCTTCGTCCTCTTACTAAATTTAGGTCATGAATGAAAGTGCACTTGTCTCTAAAATTAAAAAAATTTCCAAATTTGTCTAAAAACCCAACCCCTTCCAACAATTTCCACTGGCATTGAAATACATGCATTGGACAGTAAATGCTACAAAAAATATTTAAATTAAAATAATATAAAGTTTAACCTTTAGAAACTGAACGAGGAATTGATTGAAGAGAGCTTTCTGCTTCTTTAACAACTAAAATTAAGTTTAAAAAGGTTTTATTAAAAGATTGCTTGAATGAAATTGGAGAGGTTTCTCAATAATTTTCAAGAAAATGATACAAATTTTAATAGTCTTGGGCCCCTTCCCTTCCATTTCCACTTACATTCATCTCTTCCTTCTCCTCCTTGTTCTCCACCACAATCAATTTGTTGAGACTGAAAGTTTTGATTATTCTGAGAATTAAATCCCTCTTGGTTTAATTGTCCAAAATTATTATTATTTTGATCAAAATTTTGTCCAAAATTATTTTCTTGTTGAACTTGTTTATCCTCTAATTGCAACTTTTCTACTTGTATTTGCTCTTTCAATTCATTCAACATCAAATAAAAATTCTTTTCCTCTTCCTGCAAATTTTCCAAACGTTGACGACATTCTTTTTCACTTTTTTTCAGTTCATCCACAGATTTTTTGTATTTTTGTTTTTCTGTTTTTAAATTTTCAATTTCAGAATTTGTTTTGTCTTTTGTCGAATTTAATTTATTCATTCCATCCAACTCAATATCTAATTCATTTTTATAAACCTCCATTTGATGTTGCATACCTTTTTGTTTCTTTTCCAGCTTTTCCAAATCCTTGTTCAATTTGTCAATTTCTTTAGTCTAAAAATAATTTTAGAATATTTTTTGTTATTATAATAAAATTTTAAAGGGATCTCTGATTTAATAATGGCATGATTTTATTCAAGACTTGTCCCCATCCTAAATTCTTAGAATGACAAAACAAAAATTAAAAATATTTCAAAACCTTTTTAGTCATCTTCTCATTTAGAGACTTAATCTCGGCATCCAAATCCTTTTTGCCCCTTTCCAATTGTATAATGTCACTAATTAAACGTTTCTTCTCTTCTCTAGCCAATTCAACATCTTTTGCCTGTTTATCCAGAATTCGTTGTCCATCTTTTGTTGCTTCCAATTTTTCTTTCAAATCTTTTTCAGCTTGTTCTAAATCAATTAAAGCTGTTTTCTTTTGTTTATTCGCCTTAAGTAAATCTCTTTCAGTTTTCATTAGAAGATCCATCTTCTCAGAATATTGCTTATCAACATCGGCAAGATTCTTAATTTTATCCAGAGGAAGTTTCTGGTATTTAGAACTACTTGACCTAAAATAAAAATTAACATAAAAGTTAATTGTGGATGTCTTATAAAAACCTGGGGTCTTCAGTATGTTCTACCAGATCAGTAGAATTCAAAAAATTGGCAGTATACTTTGCCCCGTCAGTTGCTTGTCCATCCGGTGCAACACTAACTTCCAATCCAAAACGCGTAGAAAAGACGGTGACATTACGTAACTTGAGATTTTTCTGTAAGAATTAAAATTTGACATCAAAAACTAACAAATAATTTTTTGATATTCTCCAAAATATTAAAAAATTAATCAACAAACCTTTAAATATTCTGCCGGCATAAACTTTTCCTGTGCAATTTTAACCATTTTTCCAATAGTTTCTCTTTCAGTCATTAAACAAATTTCTTGCCATAATTCCTTCCCAGTTTCATCAGCAAGTATCTTCAAAGTCACAAGAACTTCAAATGATCCAAGTTCAGAACATTCACTTTTGATCGATTTTGTTGGCGTTAACATTTGTTTAGAATAAATATTCAATAAAATATTTTACCTTTTTTCTGGGAATAAGTTATATTTTATTTTTAGAAATGTTTAATCATAAAATCGAGGAATAAAAAATCAAAGAAATTTTACAATGAGGATAGTAAAAAAGGATACGAGTAAAATGGGCAAAGGGAATTTGGCTAACTGTGGCGAAGCCATATGGCGCAACCACTGCCATATTGAGGGCATACGGGAAAAAGGAATGACTAAAATAGAAACAGACCCAACTACCCCCCCCCCCCCCCTCCCCCATTTTCCTTGGCGGTTTATGTTAAGTTCAAAGCAAGTTTCGATTTTTGTAAACGAGAAAGGTTAATTCCACAAAAATTAATGATTAACAGTAGTAACATTCTTACTGTGTATCAAATAACCTTCACAACTTTATTACAGATTTTTAAAAATAAAAGAATATTTTACTTTTAAAACAGATGTTTAAAATTAAAGATAAATAAATTAGATAAAAGAATATTAAATACTTTAATAAAACAAAATAAAAATTTATTTTTTTGACAAAAATATTTTTATACGTTTTTTAAAAAGATGGAAATGCCATAGCAAAATATTGAATAATAAATAAAATAAATGGAATAAATAAATAAATTGGAGAAAGAATTTATCATTTTAACATTGTTAAATATAAAATATATGTAAATACCTATTTTTAAAGCAAATTTTCTTCCAAACTTGTATAAAAAATTATTTTCCTAACAAAAATTTGCCAAAATATTTTTTTGGTTGATTAAAGACTAGTGAGGGGGGAATAAATAATTAATATAATAAAAATATTCCTATAAATTTCATTTAATTTAAAGGCATTCTTAGAAAGCATTTTATATTTTTGTGTAAAATCCAGATTATTTAAACCTTCAAATTTTAGATTAATTCTGAGGGGTATGTGATAAGTGAAAGATTTTGTGAGCATAAATACTTGGATATTAATTTAAACAAAAAATTGAGCAAAAAGATTGAGAACTCCACATAACATAATTAAACAATGTATAGCAATTTGCACATTATTAAGGCGACCTTGTATTTGTAAACGTTTTAGATGGACGGCACAAGGAAGAATAAACATATAAACTAATCCACAAATTGAACCAACATAACTAAGAAATAAAAATTATTTTAAATTGGAATTATTAAAAACCGAATAATTGGGCCAACATGTGGATAGACAACAGCAAAAAATAATGCAATAGTTAAAATACCACCATTAATTAAAAGAACATAAAAAAGACTGAAAAAACTTTTATGAATATAAAATATTGCAGTTTTTAATTGAAAAGCTTGAATTAAATTTTTTAAATATGTGCATTTATCAAAATTTCCCAGCTAATGTAAATTTCCATAAAATCCAAACAGTTCAACCGCACTCACTTTAATTTTTTAACAAAGAAAATGGGAAAGAGAAGAAAAGGAGAAGGAAAAAAGAAAAGGGAGAGGAAAAGGGGAAATTTAAACAAAAAAGAATTCGATTTAAGAATTTTGTTTTAATTTCTAAAATTTTTTAAAAATATAAAAGACAAACCCTGGATAAACAGTTCCAGCAAAGACATAACTAAACTGTACACGTATTAAATACATAAGTAAAGGAAGAACTGTCAACATTTGAAAGAGTAGAAAAACTCTAGCAATTGCACTAAGCATATCTCCGCTTGCAAAATTGTTTAAAAAATTCTTTAAAAATTTTTTTAATTAAAAAAATAAAAAACAAAATTTAAACAAACATCAGAAATACAATTGCGATAAGTTGGAAAAGTAGTAAAGAAGAATAAACTGATTATTATATAACAACCAGCTGAAAGAAAATAACCAATTAATAAATCACGAGCCTTAAAAATATTTTGAAAAAATTTTTAAAAAACGAAGAAAATTTGGCTCTACTCCAGTTTATGCGTCCAATGAAAGTTTATGCGTCCAATAAAAAGAAAATTGGATTTTTCTTGGTATTGCAAATTGGCTTATGGTTCCAAAACACTTCATAATGTTCGGGACCTAAGCCCACTGGGTCTCGGACCATTCCTTACCCTATCCACCGAAATTTTCTAAAGTTAAAATCGTTTTTCTGAAATTTTTAAAAATTGGCTGTAACTTTCAGAAATTTCGAGGGATAGGGTAAGGAATGGTCCCAGACCCAGTGGCCGTAGGTCTCGAACATAAATAAATGTTTTGGAACCATACCCAAACTTTGCAATACAAAGAAAAATCCAATTTTCTTTTTATTGGACGCATAAACTTTCATTGGACGCATAAGTCGATTGAACGCATAAACTGGAGTAGAGCCGAAAATTTTTACATTATTTTCAGGATGTTTTTGATTTCTCAAAATTGTTAAAATAGCGTTATGAATAAAATAAGCTAATGCCAAAGTACCAGTTAATGCAGGAAATTTCCAATTAAAAACTGAAAATGAAAATAAAAATTAAAATGTAATTACATACGTTGTATATAATTCTTCGAAAGATGATTTGTAAAATCTAAATTAAATCCACATTCAGCACTTTTTATCAAAGTAAAACAAATTAAATAAACTACAGAAATTGTTCCAAGACCGTTGAAACGCATAAAAAAGCCTGGAGAACGGAAATTGAGTAAAGGGAAGATACAAAATGCCAATATCAAAGGAACACCACCCTGAAAAATAGAAATTTAAAAATTAATCTTAAAACTACTAAAAATATGCTTAAAACTACTAAAAATATGGTTAAAACCCAACGTCAGGAACGGGACGTGTTATCCAAAACCCGACTTTTCAATGAAATCTCCCATGAGGGGATTTGCTTGCTTATGGGGGAAAATTTTTGACTGCCAAGACATTCAACAGAAAAATGTGTTTACTCAAAAAAACCTGTAATCTCCAAATCTTCTGAAAATTGCTCTCATTTTCTCCAAAAGACACTTTTGAAAAAATACTACTTGGTGAAAGTGAAAGAAAATCGTTTGGAAATGCATTTTCAATTTGCTTAGGGCAATAAACTTTAAAAAAAATTCAAAAATATTTTTAATAGAATTTTTGATAATAAAAATAACCATCACAAGTTTGATTAAATCCAATTGGCAATATTGAACTGTTCTGTTGAAGTGATTCTTAAAAAAGTAAGATTTTATCACAAAGGGTAAATGCATTAAATTTGGGTTATGTATTTCGTCGCGTGTTTCCAGAAATAACTTTTATACTCAAAAAATTCATAAATACTAGATGCTAAATAGCCAAAAGAATCCAGTTACTCCCTAAAAAATATACAAAACTAACCATAAATAACATTTCCAGTAAAATAAAGAAAATTTGACATTAAAACAAAGTAAAGAATAACACCGCCAACTAGAACCAAAACAGAAAAGAAAACAGCAAAATATTCCAACCATTTTCCCCATAAAAAACGACAAACATCAGAAAAGTCAGGAGTTGAAGTTTCTAGTGCTTAAAAAATATTTTTAATTTTTAACAAAAATGTAAAATTAACTTAAAGAATTGGGACTTTCAATAATTCTATAAGCAGTGTAAAAAGCAATTCCAGCCATTAGTAACATAAGAAAAATTCCCAATACAAGACCGGCTTGTTGAAGAGCCCAAGGAACAGCTAACAAACTGAAAATGTGAAGAAATTTTAAACATTTTTGGAAAAAGTTATTCAAAGAAATATTATAATTCTTTGAATTAAAACCTGTTAGGTATTTTTAAAATTATTTTTTAACAATTTTTTTTAAACAAAATTAGCTTATTTAACTACCTTGTCCCAACCATTGTATTCCATATAGAAAATATGGTCACCATACTACTTTGTTTTCCATTAGAATCTTTAAATTCGCTGAATGGTAAAACAGAAAAAATAGAAGTCGGAATGACATGAATAGGCATTAACTTAAATTAAGAAAATGATTGAAGGGTAATTATTTTGAATATTTGTTTTCGGACCGACTATAAAGGGATAATGTCCAATAAGAAATTATTTCGAACCAAAAAATTTTTGGAAGTTTCAAGAAAAATGAACAATTATTTTTTGGCACTTTTCTCTTAAAACTCAAATTTAAAATAAAATTCTTACAAGATGAAGACCGCCAGGATCTAAGCGATTAAAAAAACGATAACGAATAGCCATATTGTGATCTCGATTAATTACATCTCGTCTATTCTCTACTGGTATTGAAGAAGACAAAAGTGAAGCATTTGAATCACTTTGTGGTTGTACAAACAGGTAAGGACGGCGAGGCAAATTAACTAAAACATAACTTCATAAACATTTTAATGCCTTTAAAGATATAACCTGAACAAGTATGTTCACCTCCCATATTCAATGGTTTTTGCACAACCTGACGATCTTCACTTCTAGTGAGCAACACATTGTCCAAACTTTAAATATCAATTTCTAACTTAATTAGTATTTAAAAAACCTTCTTGCAAAAGGAACACCTTCTTGTTCGTTTTCTGGAAATCCTTCTAAACGAAATTGAGGAACACAGTTTTGATTAATTGTAGTAAATTCACCACTGAAAGAGGCCATAAGATAGAAAATGTTTAGATTTGAGGTTTTAGTAAAAAGCCAAATACGTATCAAAATCAAAACATAATTTATATACTATCAATAAAAATAGTTAAGTTAATGTCTATTCAAAAAGCAAAAAAACCTAAAAGGCATCTTTGCCTTTTACTCAGTTTTCTTATCTATTAAAATTCATCATTAATTTTATACCAAAAAACGCTATAAACTCGCGAACGTTTTTTTCAATATAAAGATAGATACATTCATACTAAAATTTTTTGCATGAAAAATCGGTGGTTCGTCAGACTTATCAAAAAAATTTTGGTTAAAATTGCAATAACAATTCAATTAATATGCGTAATTCATAGATAATCGTTAAAAATTTCATAATTCAACTTTTTCATTGCTAAATACTTCGAAAAAAAACTGGATCAATTAATAGTTACTACGATTGATAAAGAAAAAAATCCGAGAATGAACAAGGTTAATTGTTAATGTTCCAGCTAACGAAGTAAATATCCAGAAAAAAGAATATATAAAGATTACTAAATATAGGAATAGCTTTGTTAAACATATAAACAAATATTCTTCAAACAGAAAAAACTTTATCAATTATTTAATGTTTTAACAACAACAATAATAGCAATAGGCAAACGTCTCTGAAAATTCTTCAAAGAAAATTCTCATTTAAGAACGTGGACGTTCCTTCTTTCCTCGGAAGAGCGCAAGCAAAGAAGTATTTGCAACCTTTACAACCTTAAAACGAACTCCAGGAATGTCACCAACTGCGTGTCCACTTCGACCGAAACCAGAGACAAGAACTTCATCGTTTTCCTAAGAAAATTTTGTTTAAGAAATTAAAATTTTAAACCTCAATAAAGTTAAGACATCCGTCGTTAGGAACGAAAGCTGTTATCTTCTTACTGTTCTTAATTAATTGAACACGCACACATTTGCGAATGGCAGAGTTAGGTTGTTTTGCCTCAACACCACTAAAATAATTTTTATATTTGAGCTTTAAGAGGTTAAAAATATCAAAAATTTTGTCACTCACATTTTTTCAAGAACAATACCCTTTGCCATACAAGCACCACCAAAAGGATCTGCCTTCCAACGTGTACCCAAATTAGTCTTCTTGTAGCGCTTGTCGTTCCAACGTTGTTCCTGACGATGCTTTTTTAGCTTTCTAGCCGTTCGAATACCTTTAGGCTTTCCCATTTTTCGTTACTTAATCTAAAATTAATTTTAATAAAGCAAATATCAAACAAAAACAAAAGAGGAAATTCGTTGACCCTATTCATTTAAAAAGAAATCGTGTGAGACAATAAGAAATATTTTACTAACGATGACAATTTGGCATTAACGTTAGTTTTACAGAATGTAATATTTACTTTAATTAAATGTCCTTTTGTCAAATTTTAATAGAATCAAAATATCAAATAAGCATAAATCTTACAATTAGTCACTTAAGGGTTTTGCTGTTTTACGAAATAATTTTTATTTTTTCTTTAAGATTTTTTAAAGTTTTTTTTAATTTTTTAAAGATAATGACTGATGATTCAATTTACAATCGAACCGACGAGGATGCTGTTGTTCTTTTTGATGAAAGTGATATGATTGAAATTAGTCCACAAACAGTAACTGATGAAAATCCTTCTGGTAACTTTTATTTTATTTCTATGACATTTCTTTAATTTTACAGAAAGATATATTAATGTAGAACTCGATGATAGTGAAGAGGCTCTAAGACAACGGTTAATCGAAAAAAGATATTGTAAAGAAAAACCGGAAGATCCGAATTTATTTAATAAAAATGAAATGCAAAATCTTGTTTGTGAGGTACCAGTTCATTCAAAATCATCAACAAATAAAAGGCAACGTATTGTTTGGGAAAAGAATGATGAAGATAATGCTACTAAAAAAATGTTAATAAAAACTTCAAATTCTACTAGTAGCAGTTCAAGATCGGTACAAGTTATTCAAGAAGAGAAAAGTGCCCGAACACTTCAAATCCAAACTAGTCAAAAAATTGAGGTTTTTATTTATTTTATTCTTATTAATTTACTCCGGTATTTAAATATTGTTTTCTGTCCCATATTGTACTTTAGGATTATCAAAAACGCTTATCCCTTAATAGGTTGGTGGAAATTTTGTGGATATCTACAATGGAAATTTCTTTTTGCTTTACACTATTCTCTTATTTAACGATAAGATTTATTTAATAAATGTAGCTTTTTATTTTAAAATTATAGAAACGAGAAAGGTCATCCTCATCAACTACACGCACTTCTGATACCTCTGAGTTAAGAAAAACAGCCATTACTTCCAATCATAAACAAAAAGAGAGACAAACAGCCGACAAAATAGAAATTTCATCAAAATCAAGTAAAAACGGAAATATTGATCTTTTACATAAACACAAGGAGAAACCATCTTCTTCTTCTAATGACCATTCACGTCATCTTGAGCGTCAACAACGTGATAAAAAGCAAATTTCAGGTTTAAATAGAGTTGCTTCTGATAAATTTTTGTCTAAACGCGACGGACAAAATTTGAAGACGGCAAAGAAACCAAAAAATTCGGAACAAAAAAAGACACCGAAAGAGCAAAATGAAGAAATCTGTTCTGTTGAAAAAATTCATATAGATAGTGTTAAAAGTCCAGAGGGAGTGGAAATTACTGAAGTTATGAATGAACATGAAGAATTTTCTAAAATTAAAGTTAGAAGTGCTCCCTCTTCTCCTGGAAAATCAAAAAAATATTCGAAATTTGAAAGTAGTTCGGAAAGTGGTGAAGATTATGAAATAGAAGAGGATGGAAATAAAGAAGGTGAACCTAAAGGTTTATTTTAATAATAATCTATGAAAAATATTTATTTTAAAAATGTGTTTTCAATTTTTCCAACCATTAACTTTTCGCAAATTATTGAAAAAATTTCTTAAAATCTTTTTTTAATAATTTTTTACTTTAGATCGTTCCATTCCCAGTAATGAAAATAAAATGGATGATTATGAATTTAATGAAAATGATTTTATGAATAATGTAGATGAACCTGTTGATATTCTTGATGATTTGGAAAACAGAAATTTTGAGGAGCTTACAGAGGATGAAAAAGCTGTGGTTTGTTTTTGATTAATAATTAAGTTATTATTTGATTTTTATTTTTTTAACTTTATTTTTTTATTGTTTTAGTAGGTCTATTGCTTACAATTAGTAGCTTTCTAACACTTTAGTGTTAGTTTAAAAAATTTTGAAAATTTATTTTTTAAGGGTTTTCTTTTATTAAGTTGTCACCAGAAAGATTAAAGCAATTAGAGGAAGCATATCAACGCCGTTTAAGAGCACAACTTCCCGTTTACTATCCAGGAATTTTTGGATGTAGAAGTGTTGTTGAATACGAGTGTTTAAATAAAATATCTGAAGGAACTTACGGTGTTGTTTATCGTGCGCAAGAGAAGAAAACAGGTTATGAATTTTTATATCTTAAAATTGAATTAACTTTATCTAAATATTGGCCGGGTGTCGTATAAAATCCAACTTTTTTGAATAATATTTTCGAAATAAAAATTACTCCTTTTTATTATTACTTTTTAATTTAAGATGAAATTGTTGCACTTAAAAGATTAAAAATGGAAAAAGAACACCAAGGATTTCCAATTACTTCACTTCGAGAAATTAACATGTTACTAAAATGTGGAACACATCCAAATGTTTTAAATGTACGAGAAGTTGTTGTTACCTCTAATGCTGAAAAAATATTTCTTGTAATGGAATATGTTGAACATGATTTGAAATCTTTAATTGAATTGATGAAATCTAGACAGAAAAAATGGACAATACGTTTGTTTTTCCGTGTAAAATTGTTTTTAAAATTATTTTTTTAAGCTCAAGTAAAAACTCTTCTACAACAACTTCTTTCTGGAATTGAACACATGCATGACCGTAAGTTGATTAACATTTAAATCTCAAAATTGGATTATAATAACAGTTTGGGTCCAAAACAGATGCAACATTCCTAAATAAATTTTTTGTCTTTAGATTTCATATGAGCTAAATTAATTTTTTTCTGTCCAATTTTAATTGCTAAAAATATTTTTAAAATAAAATTTATTTTCTAGAGTATGTCATCCACCGTGATTTAAAAACTTCCAATCTTTTACTTTCACATCGTGGTATTTTGAAGGTAATTTAAAAGAATTATTTTCTATTTAAATAAAAAAATATTTCAGATTTGTGATTTTGGTTTAGCCCGTGAATTTGGAGATCCACTTAAGCCGTATACACCAATTGTTGTTACACTTTGGTATAGGTAAATATTTCTTTTAAATTTAAAATTTTATTTTTAAAAATTAAAGGTCGCCAGAACTTCTCCTAGGATGCAAAGTAAATTAATTTTTTCTATTTAAGATTTAATAAACATTTTTTGAGCTCTATTCAACACCAGTAGATATGTGGTCTATTGGTTGTATTTTTGGTGAACTTTTAAAAATGTCAACATTATTTGCTGGAAGAACTGAGATTGACCAGATGCAAAAAATTTTTAAAGTTTGTTTTAAAAATAAAATTTTTAATTTCAAAAAAAATTAAAGGAATTGGGAACACCAAATGAACAAATTTGGCCTGGATGTAGTTCTCTTTCAGGAATGAGAAATTTAAATTTTCCCGAAACTCCGTTCAGTCAATTACGTCGAAGCTTTTGTTCTGAATTACCTGATGATGATGGATTTAATTTATTAAATAGGTACTTTTTTAAATTTCTCAATTCAATATTTTTTCGAAAAGTTGAATTCTTTTGAATATTTTTTTTTATAATTTAATTTTTTTCTTCAATTTACAGTTCAAAATTAATTAAAAAAGTTTTTTTACAGATTACTTGCATTGGACCCGAGTAAACGTTTTTCTGCCAATGAAGCATTAGAAAACAATTGGTTCAAAAATGATCCAAAACCTGCTCCACCATCTTCTTTTCCAACAGTAAGAATTATTATTATCGTTAATATTTATCTTTTTCTTTTACTTTACA